CCTCCCTCCCCTTCTCGAAGACATGGAAGCGATGAGCACCTGTATTAACCTTGGTAGCGCATTCTGCGCATCATGCACAGGGGAGGGGAGTATGAAAACAGCCTTAGGAATTCCACGAGATCTTCTGGAAATCCACTGGAGCTTTGGAATTTCAGAAAGTAGCACACGATGTAAACCCATTCCCTACGTGTTTGACGAACCTTCAGGAATTGTAAAGAAACCAGGAGGTTGTTAAAAAATTTTCCACCACGCTGATCCTCGTTGCGGCTCCTACCAATTCACAATTCATATTTCACATTTGAATCATATTTTAGTTTCTATGCGCATTGACATCAATAAAAATTCTGTTTGTTGAAGGCTTCAGCGTTCATTGATGGCGGCGTTGTTGAGAATTTCACGTAAGCTCCGATCACAGAATTATTTCATTTCCAGAGTAAAGCAGCAGCCGCTGTATCGTCATGGGTTTCCTGTTCTCGAAATTGATCAGAAATATTGTCATCGCCTATGTGATATTCAGTGGTGTTCAGTATTTGCTTCGATCGAAGACGTACAACATTTCGCCCAGGGAATTCCGCAATATTGCAAGCAAAGCACAAGGTTAAATAGTTTTCTTTGTGATACAGTTTTTATATTTACAATCAGTTTATAGTTGCCGAAGCTCCTTCACAACTTGTTTGGGTCGACGTTATCAAGTACCTGAGATTACATGACTTAAAGTTCTATCTTAACTTACCAGGCTGGGGGAACCTCCCGATCAGAAAGGCGGGACCCCGTGGTAAGGCCCTCATTTAGTGAAGGCTGACCCGCGTGCCAACCTCGAGGTGAGGTTAGCCAACGGCTAAATTTTTGCGTGTGCGGCTGCGTTTTTTTGGGGCGGAAGTGGTGTAGTGGCAAGTGGCACGCTTACCACGCGAGCGGTCCGGGGATCAAATCCTGGGTCGTGAGTCGCCCGGGCCAACCAAGCCTTCCATCCCTCCGGGGTCGGTTAATTGGTACCAGACTTGTCTGGGAGGATAAAAACACTGACTTGTACATCGGCTGGCCCCCGCAAGTCATTGTATAGGCCACATCGCATTCAAACGCCACTACGAATGTACAAATGGAAGTAGAATGCGTGCCGCATCCCAAAAAGGGATTGATCAACGGCAAATGCTTTATCCTTTTTTATCTTCATCTATCAACGACATGTAATAGATGGATTGTTACTATTGAATGTCTCGTCTCTGAAAAAGGGACGGAGATGGCTCAGAGCCAA